CTGGGCCACCCAGGCGCCCCTCTGAAAGCTCATTTTTAATAAACAATCAACAGCAGCTGGTAAGGACGGCTTTGTTTCCCTAAGTCCCTAAAAATCAAGTACTGAAAACTTGTTTGGGGAGCATTTTCTTGGGGGTGGACATCACACTCGGCAAAATGCAGTCATAAAGCGTGTCTTGTTTGTTTGCAAAGATCTGGACGCGTTTCCCCGGCTCTGTTCCCCCAGCACCTTTCCTAGCTGCCGTGATTCCTCCGAGTGGCCGGTGCTGTTCCACACACCCGTGTGACTTTGCCAGCCTGGCAGGGGTCCTGAGAAGTGCCAAAGCTGGCTGGGTGTGACGTGAGGGTTTGGGCAGAGCACGGGACCCGCCGCGTTCCTCGCAAGAAGTTAAGGGCACGGCGAAGTGATCGTAAGCTGTGGGCTCCCGGGTGAGGGCACTCTGGTCATCATTCAGACGGAAATGTCTAGATTTTCTTCCGGGCAGGCAATTCAGCGTGAGGGCATTTTGCCGCCCGGTGGCCACACTCAGGAGCAAGGCGCCCTTGTCACTGCAGGAGGGGCCGGGGCCAGGTCTCCCGGGCAGGGCCCTGCAGGGCCCAGGCACGGCCGGCTCTGCTGTCCCTGGGTCCCCAGTGCCCGGATTCCAGGAAGCCCTCAGGGCAGGGAGGGGTGTAGCTGTGAAGTTCAAGTGCAGGAAGACACCTGACCTGTGCCCTCCCCCCCCCAGCCGTGCATCATGCATCGCTGGCTTTTCTGCTTTCCTCTTGGCCGCACCCAGGCCGGGGCCAGACAGGCTCCCTAATCACCAGATGGGGCCCTGCCCGGGAGGCCCCCGTGATGGCAAAGCCCCGCCAGGCTCCACTTTGCGTGAAACGCAGGGCACCCTGAGGGGTTCCTGGAGGCCAAGGGGGCACCTCATGAGGTGGCCGGCTGCCTACAGAGAATGGGTCCGCGCTTTCTCCTCTCGCCCCCTCTCCTTCCTTCCCCACTGGAAGGAGAGAAGAAAAGAAAGTAGGAAGCGAGAGAGGAAGGGAGGGAGGGAAGGAAATCCGACGGAAGAGAGAAATGTGGACGCGTACAGGCAAGTTTTAAAAAGAGAGAAATGGGGCGCCTGGGGGGCTCAGTCGGTTGAGCATCCGTCGTCGGCTCAGGTCACGATCTTGCAGTTTGTGGGTTCGAGCCCCGCGTCGGGCTCGGTGCTGATGGCTCGGAGCCTGGAGCCTGCTCCGGATTCCGTGTCTCCCTCTCTCTCGCTGCCCCTCTCCCGCTCGCGTTCTATCTGTCTCTCTCTCTCAAAACTAAATAAACATTAAAAAAAAAAATAGGCCTTTTGATTTTTTTGATTTTCTACTGCTGCAAAAACGAACTGTCCCAAAACTTAGTGGCTTGAGCCCATCAACAAAGAAACTCTCTCGTGAATCTGTGGGTTGACTGAGCAGTTCTGCTGGGTTTTCTTCCGCTGCGGTGCGGTGGGGGGGCTGGGCTGGACGATCCGAGGTGACTCACTCACACGTCTGGTGCCTTGGTTGGGGGTGGAGGGAGGCTAGCGTGGGCTTTTATTTTGAGAGAGAAAGAGAGCGTGTGCGTGTGAGGAGGGGAGGGGCAGAGCTAGAGAGAGGGAGACCCAGTATCCCAAGCAGGCTCCAAGCTTCGAGCCGTCAGCCCAGAGCCCGACGCGGGGCTCGATCTCCCAAACCGTGAGCCCGTGATCTGAGGCGAAATCAAGAGTCAGATCGTTAACTGACGGAGCCACCCAGGCGCCCCCAGGTGGGTGCTCTCGCCTGCACACAGCTGGACCCCCACCACCCAGGCAGCTGAGTCCTAAATTCCAAGAGCTCACCAAGGAGGGAAGGAAAGTCGCCAGTTGGCTGCGTGCCCCGTCCCGTCCCCTGCCCCTTATTGGTCACAGCAGCCGCAAGACCAACCCAGGTGGAAGGGGAAGAGAAAGAAACTTCACCGCTCAGTGGGGGAGAGCGACAAAAACCGTGTTACCCTCATTAATCCACTACAAAACGTGAACATATACGTATTAGCTTCTGGTTTTTAAACTGATGAATGGATAAACCAAATATTAAAAGTCACCTCTGTTACAGGGTGCCCGGGGTGGCTCGGTCAGTTGAGCGTCGACCCTTGATTTCGGCTCAGGTCACGATCTCACGGTTTGGGAGTTCGAGCCCCGCATCTGGCTCCTTGCGGACAGTGTAGAGCCGGCTTGGGATTCTCTCTCTCCCTCTCTCCCTGCCCCTCCCCTGCTCATTCTCTTGCTCTCTGTCTCTCCCTCAAAATAAATAAATAGAGAAATTTTTAAATCACCTCTGTTAGTAAAAGTTACCTATGCAGGGAGAGAGAATGGAAGTCAGACTCTTCTGAATAGATCTGGTTATATAGTTTTGACTTTGAATCAATAATTTATAATAATAAACATGGCCATATACCTGAAACTCACATGACACTGTATGTTAATTTCGCTTGAATAAAAAGTAAAAATCAGAAGTTAAAAACAAAACATGAAAAAAAGGCAAGTCTTAACAATCGAAAGCAGGGGTTCCCGGCTGGCTCGGTCAGTGGAGCGTGTGACTCTTGATCTCAGGGTTAGGAGTTCGAGCCCCATGTGGGATGTAGGGATCATTTAAAAAAAATTTTTTTTGATGTTTACTTACTTATTTTTGAGAGACAAGGCACGAGCAGGGGAGGGGCAGAGAGAGAGAGGGAGACACAGAATCCGAAGCAGGCTCCAGGCTCTCAGCTGTCAGCACAGAGCCCGACGCGGGCTCAAACACACGAACCGTGGGATCATGACCTGAGCTGAAGGCGGACGCTCAACCGACTGAGCCACCCAGGTGCCCCTAGAAAACCTTTTTTAATTGAAGACAAAAGGAAAGAAATTCACCTAACTGCAAATCAAGTCACCAGCATAACAACAGAGAGAAAATAATAGTTTCCAATGACTTTCAAATACAGAATTTCGATTATACAGTCCTGGTAGGATATATTCTAAGACAAAACAAACCAGAAAGAAATGTTAGGCCCCACTCAGTAATCCTATTCTTAGCCCAATAGGCACACAGCTATTTTGAAACTATTATAGTTTAATTGTGGAACCAGGCAAATAAGGGATTGTGTTGAAGTCACTAAAAAACAAGTTTTCAGCAAAGAGAAAAGGAAGAAAAGCATAAATTCAACCAAGTTAAGTACAAACTCTGTAATCTTACATGTGAATTGGAAATATCAGTATGAACTCATAATTCTTTGCCTTTCAAAAATATGAGCATAGGGGCGCCTGGGTGGCTCAGTCGGTTAAGCGTCCGACTTCAGCCAGGTCACGATCTCGCGTGATCTCCCGTGATCTCGCGTGAGTTCGAGCCCCGCATCAGGCTCTGGGCTGATGGCTCAGAGCCTGGAGCCTGTTTCCGATTCTGTGTCTCCCTCTCTCTCTGCCCCTCCCCCGTTCATGCTCTGCCTCTCTCTGTCCCAAAAATAAATAAACGTTAAAAAAAATTCAAAAATATGAGCATAAAAACATCGCATTTTGTTACATTTGTATGAATTTCAAAACCGAACAAAGCCTCTGACGTTAGAAGTCAGCTGGGTGGTCTTCTTTGTGAGGGGGTAGTGCCTGGGATGGGAGATTAGGGGGCCTTCCAGGTGCTCCCATCCGTTTCTCAATCCAGATACTGATTACGGAAGTGTCCTCGTTCTATGTGAAAATTCATCAAGCTGAACGTTTATGATCTATTCGCTTCCCTGTAATACGTGCTCGGTTACAATGAAAAGTTTAATTAAAAACAAACAGGGGCGCCTGGGTGGTTCTGTCCTTTAAGCGTCCGCCTTCGGCTCAGGTCATGATCTCTCGGTTCATGGGTTCGAGCCCCATGTTGGGTTCCGTGCCAACAGCTCGGAACCTGGAGACCGCTTCGGATGCTGTCTCTCAATCTCTCGCTCTCGCTCTCACTTGCTCTCTCTCTGCCCCTCCCCCACTCGCACTCTGTCTCTCTCTCTCTCTCTCTCAAAAGTAAATAAACATTTAAAAAAAACAGTCCTTTAAAACAAACAAACAAAACCCCCTGAGCCGAGTGCCATCAGGACTGCAGGTAATGACAACCCCATAGCACTGAGCACGGCTAGTGACCAGATGCAGTTCTCTACACACCATTTCCTCCCAGAGGAACCACGGCTCCTCCGAGAAATGGACAAGTTTAGGTCTGGGGCAGGAAATGCCTAAGAGGAGCGTGGGGTGTCTTGCTGCACCAGAAAAAAAAGGAAGGGCTGAGGTCACATCAAAAAGGCAGAGGAGCCAACCCTGAGACGTACCCACTGACCTAAGCAGAGACCATCTGAAGAACACAAAAGAATAGTAATGGCAGTAGATTGGAGGCATCGCACCGATAGAAATCTGTGTGCCGTAATGTTACCAAAAAGGGGCACCTCGGTGGTTCACTCAGTTGAACATCTGACTCTTGATTTCATCCTAGATCGTGATCCCAGTGTCATGGGATCAAGCACCACATCTGGGCTGAGCATGGAGCCCGCTTAAGATTCTGCCTCTCTCTGTCTCTCACACACACTCTCTAAAAAGATAAAATAAAGGTTACTAAAAACAATAAAAGCCACTGGTCAATATTCAAGGCTAGGGCAGAACCCCTTACTCTGGATACTGACTAAAAGGAGAGAGATCCTTCTTTGTAAAAGGTGATCGTCAGACAACAAATCAGAAGAAATGATAGCCTGGAAAAATCACAAGTCTGCAACCTCTAAGGAAATCATGGATCTGAGCTGCTAAGCCCATCTCGCTGGTACGACCTGAACCCACCTGACAAGACAAACCAGACCCCGCGCCTGGTGCCGGACGAGGTCAAGAGCATACAACACGACCCGTAAGAATCTTCTTGCCTGAAAAATGCAACTGGGACCCAGTGGCCAAGGAGGGGGTCGGGGGAGGCAGGGGTCCACCCGTGTGCAGGCGACAGAGAATTTTAAACCAATAATAAAACCAACACAAAGTCAGTTTGCTTTTTATTATCACCGGGCACCGGCCGCCCCGAGCGACGTCAGTGATAAAATTCCTCTTCCTCCAGGAGGTCTGTCCCCGGTGGTTCTCCAGCCTTCACACACCTCTGCTTGAATAACAGCTTACGGAAAATATGGAACAGGGAGGAATAAGTCACCTGACATCATAAGGCGGCATTCATCGCAGTCCGGAAGACAGAGCATTCTACGGGGCAGACGGCCAGGGGTCTCTAAGTGGGGGAGGGAAAGGAATGGAGGGGTCCAAGGAGACAACCGATGAGCGAATATGCAGGCCTCAGGGGGCGCCGATTGGACAAACCAAGCTGGTTAAAGACCATCCGGTACAGGTCATGAAGTTAACACGCGCTAGGCGCGACAGTGACCCGACGGCTGCGTCTTACACGCGAACATATCAAACCAGTTCAAAATGACCCAGATTCGTTCTGACCCAAACGTCACGGCCTCTAGGATCGGCTTCAAAATTCTCCAGCAAACAAATGAACGCCAGCGAAAGCGGGCGGAACCGAGCGAACAAGATGGGCCGTGACTTGGGTGATGGATACACAGGGATTCCTCACAATCCTGTCCCTTTCTTTCTGGCTCCTGTTTTCTCATAAGCAAAGAGAAGCAACGTACGTACAGGAGTAAGTGGCGTGGTGTCCTCGCTGCCGTCATCACCGTCAGACCCCGGGCTGGGGCTCCGATGCGAAGCAAGCGGCATTTAATTGGGAGGGAGTGGCAAGAGCCAGCTCAGGTGTGGCCCGGTGGTCACCCCGGGGAGCTGAAGAAAATGTCACCGCAAACAGGTGGCACGTGATCTAGGCACAGGGCTGGCGTCAGGAGCTAAGGCAACAGTCGGACATCCTTGGGGACGGCCACGTGGTCTCAGGCCTCAGGGAACAGGGAGACCCAGGGGGCTAGGGACAAAACAAGGGGCTGGTAAGAGTGAGGAGAGCCTCCCTCCACGGGACCGTGACACGAGTCATAAACACATCATCACCGACTCAGGTTACAAGGGGGCCCTGAGCTCAGGAACAGGGGGCGGGTTCCAGGGTCTGGATCCAGGTTTGGTGGGGGGGGGGGGTTCCCTGCAGTGACGCCCAAAGTGGGGCTAAGCTCTAGGCATCCCCCCACCCGGGACACGACCGCGCAGCCCCAGAGGCCCGGGCACAGGGGGAGCCCACGGAGGGGGTGGCCTGAATACCGATGGTTCTCGCCGGGAGACTGCAAAGGGGCCTAAAGGCAGATCTGTGTCGCCCAGCGCTGGGCAGGACGGCCAGCACCAAAGACACCCCCGCCCCCCAGGCGCATGCTTGCCAACTGCAGGCCTATTTCAAAAGCAGTGATAAGGGGCCACCCGCTGCTTGGTTGCTCCAGCTTGACTGATGGTTAGGGAGCGGGGTTCCTGTCACACGGCCCTCCATCCGCCCATCTCCCTCTCTTTTCTCACTCCTCCCGTCTGCCATCTGTATCTGAGAATGTGCGTGCGTGTATGTGTGTGTGTACGCGTGCGTGCCTGCACACGTGTGTGGGTGTGGGTGTGCACGCTCATGTGCAATGAGCTTGTGCGCAGTGCATGCTCCTGTGCGTGTGTGCCATGCGTGCGTGCACGTGTATGGGCATGCGTGTGCCATGTGCTTGTGTGTGCGTGCACACGAGTGTGCACGCTGTGTGCACGTGCACTTATGTGCATATGTGTGCATGTGCATGCTGTGCGCGCGTGTGAGTGTGCTTTGTGTGTGCCCGCTGCGTGCGTGCACACTCGTGTGCGTGCCATGTGTGCGTGTGCATGCTGTGTGTGCACACTCATGTTCATGCTGCGTGCGTGTGCACACTCATGTGCATGTGCGTGTGCATGCATGCTGCGTGCACGCACACTCGTGTGCGTGCTGTGTGTGCTTGTGCGCGCGCTTGTGTGTGCACGCGTGCGTGCTTGCGTGTGTGTGCGTGCACGCGTGCGTGTGTGTGGTCATGCGTGTGTGTGCACGCACGCTCACGTTGCTGGTGTGTGTGTGTGCACTTACACACGTGCACGTGTCTGCGTGAAGGTGCGTGTCGGAGTCAGGGGAGGTAGCATGTCGGTCTCACACGCCCTCTTCTTTCACCGTCCTGACCTTTTTATCCCCATCCCCACTTCTGTGCGAAAGACCCTGCTGTCCCCTTCGAGAACCTTCCTGGTCCGGGCTTTGCCTGGGGCGGGAGCGGGTCAGGAAGCAGCGTATCTTGAGCTCACTGCTGGGGCTGAACCAGGGAGGAAAGGAGGGACCGGTGGGCTGGCCCAAGTGACACTCCTGTCCCCCGAGGTCCTTCCTCTCCTCCCCCCCGCACCCCCAGCCCCACCCCCGCTCCCCGTGCAGGGCTGATACCCTCCTCTGAGGAGGGCTTTACACTGTCCCTCCCGCACAACAGCAGGGTGGGTGTCAGGAGCTGCTTGCCATGTGAACGAAAGCCCACTTAGGAACCGCATCCTGCCGTCTCTCCCCCGCCCCCTGCACCCCAGCTGCCTGCACGGGCCAGCGAGGTCCTCTTCTTGGGGACAGAGGGGTGACCTTGCCCCAGCCTCCGCGGAACCCTCCCCCCCAATCTCTTACAGCCTGCTCAGGATCATTCTGAGACACCTCGGCGTCTTCACTCCATGGAGACGCTTTAATTCGTTCCAGAGCTGCTAATTAAAGGGAGAGCTGCTGTGCGCGGGTTGGGGGCTGGGGGGGGGGCGGAGGGGACTCCCAGCAAGCTGGGGTCCGGGTGCTGTGTGAGCCGCGGCCGGGCCGTGCTGGGGGGGGGGGGAGGATGGTTAGGGACAGGCCACGAAACAGACGCAGCTCCAAAGACCCCTCTGATGCTCACGTGTGGCTGTTTGGTTGTCCTGATGAGAAGACACCCGAGCCTCATCATGACTGGCGGGCCAGCTCACAGACAAATGACGGACACACTCCTGACGTCTCTACGGAGATGCTTTCAGACTTCCATGCGGATTGAAGGATGGCCCCAGGGGACAGTGAAAGGCCAGTGGGGGCCTGGCTGTGGCCCCAGTGGCATTAATTGGCCTTTTAAGACCCTGGTAGCTTTGGGCCCCTCAGCTCGCCAGCCCTGTGAGAGTCCCCAGCTTACACCTGCAGACTCACCCCAGCCTCACAGCCTGCCCGGTTGGGGGGCGGGGAGACATGAAGAAGGGGCTTTGGCGAGAGAAGGGGCTGGAACTGAGGAGGGGACACAGAAAGGGGTGGGGGAACCCGGGAAGGTGTCTCTGGTCACTTGGGCGGGGGCTCGCCCGGAAATGCAAAGCCCCCCCGAGAACGTTCCCAAGGCCCCGGGACCTGCCCTCCCTCTCTGCCCACCTCCCTCGGGAAGGCCAACCTTCCAGCGAGCCGTGCCCACCCCCCCACCCCCATTCCCAGGCAGGAGCACCTGTGTGGAGACCTGGAGTGAGTCACGGCCCCTCTCCACGCACCTCTGGGCTGGTTGGGGGGTTGGGTGGAATAAGGTAACGGATCCCTTCGCAGGGCAGAGGGCCTGGCCCGGACGTGCCGCGACCTCCTCCCTGCCCCCGGGGGTGCCCGCACGGCCCTCCCCAGCCAGCCGCCTTCCCTGCTCCCCCAGACACCTGGCTGGCCTGGCGGTGCCCTCCACGCCCGCTGCACTTGTTCTGCCCGTGGGCTCCGCCCGCGCACATCCAGGAGCAGAGATCATCAAAGCCTGCCTTTGCTCGATGCCCTCCTCCGCCTCCCCCTCCCCGACGGCAGGGGCGGGAGCCGATCTGCCCTGTTGGCTGCCGCACGTGCACCAGGCACCCTCCAAAGAAGGGAGCGGGTGAATGTGCTGCCTCCACGCCTGAGCACCCCAGCTTCCCCTGCCTGCACCCCCTTTCTTCCAAGGTCGTCAGCTCTCCAGAGTCCCCCCGCCTGCCTCTGGAGGCCTTCCCTGAGCCGCCCCACCCCGCTCGGAGTCCCCCTTGGCTCTCACCCTGTGGGACCAGGGTTCAGTGGGCACGCTTCCCCCGCGCATTCAGGACGTCAGCCCCAGGGCCCACGTTCCAGACACAGAGGTTCAAAGAAAAGCAAACGCCACGCACACAATTGGCGCGGAGCGGGGAAAACATCTCTTTCTCAAAGCCTCCAGCCCACAGAACTCCCCTAGTCCCTTCCGGGGACCACAGATGCTCCGCGACAGTCGAGATCTGTCTTCCAGAAGCAGGAACTGGGGAGTATTTCTGGCCCAATTAAGCTTTAGTGCTTGACAAGAAGCAAATGCAGCCTGGTCTCTTTCCACGCCTAATGTGCGAAACATACGGGCTCCGCGCATCTGGGCGTCTCGCCCGCCTTCCAGCACCTGCCGCCCACCCGGGACCGAGCGTGAGCACAGGTCACAGGTGGGCGTGCACGCCTGACACAGGCGTCCCTAAAGGGATGGGGTCTGCTGCGGCATCAGCGTCAGGCAGTGTATACAAATCCTGATCTACAAATTACCAGCATTAGAAATCAAGGGGCGTCTGGGCGGCTCAGTTGGTTAAATGGCCCCCTTTGGTTCAAGTCACAGTCTTAAGGTTTGTGAGTTCGAACCACACATCGGGCTCTAAGCTGACAGTGCAGAGCCTACTTGGGATTCTCTCTCTCTCTCTCTCTACCCCTCCCCCACTTATTATCTCTCTCTCTCTCTCTCTCTCGCTCTCAAAAAATGAATAACCATTAAAAATTTTTTCAGAAGAGAAAATCGAGCAGTTATCTCCATTTCAAAGGTATGAGAACTCTAACTGCTTGTTATGGTCACCAGCGGCCTCTCGGGCTTGTGCGTGAGAACCGCGCCGCGGGGCTGAGGTGAAAACTTCCAGGCAGGACAGATCGTTCGTCATCAGTTTCGGCCGGGATCGGAGCTGGAGTCGTGATGTCTGGTGGAACAAAGGATCGGAGGGTAGATGCGAAGACAGATTGGTGGTCTGTTTCAGTACACACGCCTGCAAAGCTCTGAAAGAAGGCAGCCCGGATCTACCCGCTCTAATACAAGCGGCCCCTGAAACAGACCCCGTTTAGTGCCGCGAGCGTCTGGCTGTACTTAAAAAGGAAGCCTCTAGCAGGGGGCTGGTCCTCCGGGCTGGACCCACCCTGCCCTGATCCCCGGAGGCCTGACCGTCCGGAAGGGTGAGAGGCAGCTTGGACCATCAGAGCGAAGTTACTTAGAATAATATTAGGCTCCAGTGCCTAATTGAGCACTTTAATTAATTGAGTCGCCATTAATTGAGCACTTACTGTATGCCAGGTGCTTTACAGACTTCCAACATACCGACCTCACGGATCCCCAGTGAGAAGCGTGTTTAGCCTTGTGTACCCGATGAGGCAACCAAGGCTCAGAGGGGGTAAGCAACTTTCCCAAGGTCACACAGCCCGTGACGCAGCCAGCTGTCAAACCAGGACAGTGCGATGTCAGAGCCTGAGGTCTTGACCGCTACCTCTCCCCTCCGTTCCCCCCCACCTCCTCTCAGCAAGAGCAAACAGGGGGCGCCTGGGGGGCTCAGGCGGTTAAGCGGCTGACCCTCGATTTCCGCACAGGTCGTGATCTCACAGTGTGTGAGCTCGAGCCCCTACGATCGAGACCCGTTTTTCTATCCAACCGTCATTCGGCGGGACCAGCCGGGGCTGCTGACCAGCTGGTTTGCACTGTGCGGCTGTGCCTGTGGATAAAATGCTGAAACCCGTTCCCACCGTGGGCAAGGATCCGCTGTCCTGATGCTTGCCTCCTCGGCCCATCACCCCGACCTCTCAGGAGCACCCCCCCCCCGGTAGGGCAACACCCAAGCCTGCCCGGACCCCCGCGGGACCCTGGTGAATCAGGCTGGCTGGAGGAAGGGCCCAGGGCCGGGGGGCCACCGTGGCCCAGAAGGGACCAGAAGCTCGGGAAGTCAACGCTGGAGAGTTGGCCCTGAGTGGAGCGGAGCGAGGTGAGGCCAGAGCGGGAGATGAGCCTCAAAGACAGAGGCTGGAAGAATAAGGACGATGTGGTTAGAGGCTTAGGAGGGGGCCCGGAGCTGGGATTCCAGTCTAACGACGCCAGTAGCATAAGGGAGCCTGCGGCCTGTTTCCCGGGGTCCTGGTGTGCGGCCCGCGGGCCCTGACACGGGGTGGGTGGAGGCCCAGGGCCGACCCGGGAGAAGCAGTTCTGTGGAGGCTTGACTGAGGAAAAGGTCAGTGCCGGTCCCTCTCCTGCCCCCGAGCCCCCGCTGTGTCTGCACGGGGCTCCCGTCCCCGCGCTCTGACCGTGGGCACCGGAGCCCGTTGAGGACAACTCAGCCCGTAGCCTCCACCCTCCCGGGCCTCCCCTGCGCTGCGTGCGGTTCAGTGGCGTTTTTATTACAGTTGGAATCAAACAAGTCAGAGACAGCTCCAGAGGGCAGGGTGTCCCGCAGAATCCAGTGGGGCCCAGGCACGACCCCTCTCGCCCCTTCTCTCTGAGCCTTCCTCCCTGCTGTGCCCACCCAGACAGCTTCACTGCTCTCAGGGCCGCCAGGGGGCTCAGCAGGGTTTAAACCCAGGGTCCCCTTCCCTACCACCAAAGCATCGCGACGAGGTGGGGCTTGGGGTTCCCTCCCCGCTGCCTTAGAAGGCTGAGCGAGGCCCAAGGAGGCTGAGAGCCAGAGGCTGGGGGGCTGGGCCCTGACCAAGCCATCGGGACCCACCTTGTCTCCTCTCCAGCCCCGTATGGTCTGGTGAGTCGCCCCACTTTCTCCTCTGTAAACTGCGGATAAAAACTCCTGCAGGGGGGTGGCGGGAGGGTCGGATGAACTCGGTCAGGGGCCGCTGTCTCCAGGGGCCTCTGCTTGGGCTGAGTCCGTCCGCACTCGTGTGCCTGTTATGTTTTACTTCTACGTCTAGCGCGTGACCTCTCTGTCTCCATACATTTTCCCTTCTGCTGGAATCTCCTTCCGAGTCTGAGCTCAGACCCCTGCAAGGTGGGCCCAGGCAGCAGCCGGGGACGGACTCGGGTTCAGGACCCGGGACACATCCACACAGACCGGCGGGACCAGCCCTTCCCGGATAACAGACGCTTCGTCAGGGCTCGCGATGCCCCAGACCCAATGAACACCGCAGACTTAGAGCAGGCTTGCAAATGAAATCCCATTGCTGGCTCCACAGGGCATATCCTGCCCCCAGGGCCGTGTGCTGGGAGAGGCAGACATCAGGCTTGTCTGGCACCCGGGGCTTCCGCGTGTGCTGCGTCAGGTGACAGGCACGCCCATAGGTTCATTCCAGCCTTGTTCGGCTTCAGCGACAGCCTCGGTGTTTGCACAGGAGCCTGGCAGTCAAGGCATGGGACCCCACTCCTGCCACGAAGGAGCACGAGTCACTCCTCGGGAGGCAGCGAGGTGGCAGGTGACGTGGGGAGAGACTGAGGCGGGCCTGACTTGGCTCTGGGTCTGCCGCTTACCAGCTGTGTGATCCTGGCCGACCCGGTCAGCCTCTCTGAGCCTTGGTTCGTCGTCTGCTTGATGGGGAAGACCCGCCTTGAGGGCCGATGGCGAGATGAAAGGAGATAATGTCTGCAACGCACCTGCTCGGCAGAGGCTCGTTCTCCCCCCCACCCCCACCCCCGCCCAGCTCATCCAGACGGTCAGTAACCAGCACGCGTGTCTGGTTCCCAGCAGACGACGGTGTGTGTCTCCCTCGAGAGCCGATGAGGGGTCAAAGCCAGTCCCTGCCCCAGGAAAGGTCCTGGGGGAGGCGGGGGGGGGGGGGCACAATTTGAGTTCAAGCCCTGTTGGTGGAAGAGACTCTCCGGTATTCCTTGCCTCCAGGTCTTGTGTTCACCTGACGTCACCTCCGGGCCCTTGCGTGAGAATCAGTCCCGCCCCCCGCTGTCACAGGGGCCCTGACTGTCCGCCTTGCGGGTATTCCAGCTCAGATTCCAGGACACTCGGCTCGTCCCCTTGGCCCTCCCTCTTTCTGTAACTCAGTCCCCAGAACCGTCTTGCCACAGTCTGCCTCGGTATCCCCATCTGAGCCATGCCCTGGGACTAGGTATCTTACCTTCCCCAAAACTCAGACCCCAGTCATTGAGCCAAACCCCACTCCCGGAAGACAAAGTTCCCCAAGGTCAACCGCATGTGCCTGTTGTCCCAGATGTCCACCTCCCTGGGACGGCGGGGTGCCTATGGGCTGCCCACTCCTCCTTCCCCCTCCCCCCCCAGAGCTGTCTGAGCTCAGCCCCTGCTCGGAGCCCTCAGGGGATGCCGGAGAGGCCCCGGAGCCCCAGCCGGTAGCACAAGACGCGTCTACAGGTCCTTGTCCTCTCTTCCTCCAAATCCCCCCCCCACCAAGAGGAAAGCAAATGCATTCTTTGAAAGTAAACCCAAAGCCTAGGAGAAAATGAGATGCGATAATTATAGACAGGAGATTTCAACAAAGTTTACAGAAGACGGAAAGCAGATGGAGAAAGAAAGTTGGCAGAGGGGGCTGTAAACTGAAGCTCCGGCGAGGCAGGTTCCAGATGAGAAGCAAACCCATTTGCCTGCAGAAAACCAGACACACTCGGGACGGGGAGGCAACAGGTGCAGAGAGCAGTGGTCGGGTGTGGGGTGGAAAAAGGGGGTGGGGGGCTCGTGTGGAAGCTCGAGCTGGACCCCAGAGTCCCTCCCCTGCCACGCACCGGGGCGAGAAGCCCAAAGCTTGGTCTCTGGAGGAGCTTGGGGATCCCAGGCCGAGCGTGGAGGGGAGGAAGGTTCAGGAATGCAGTGCTGAAACTTCATGGTGGATTTCCGATTCCCGTCCTCCGCTCCTGCCAAGGCACCCTGTCCCCGGGCAGGCAGATAGAGGCTTCTCCTCTC